TGAAGTCCCAACAGACTCCCTGGCTCAGGAGGCACGTACAGGGATCCAGTAAGGTCCCAAGGGGGTACACGCCAGGCTATTGTTGACACGGGCTGTACACAGACCCTTGTCTAACAAACGCTGGTTCAGCCAGGGAGGTTGGAGGCTGAGTTGGTGGAAGTTAGATGTGTGACATACCCAAATATCCCATAGTGCCACTGCAAATTAAACATAAGGGCAAGACGCTAGAGGAAAGACTGTGCATCCCTTAATTTTGGGGACAGACTGGCCAGGGTTTAATAACCTGCTGGGGCAGTGTGCAGGGATGCATGGCCTTTAACAGTATGTAGCAGCTGTGCTGCACCTAGCAGTGACACGGGCTCGTCCGGGAGAGGAGACAGCAAGGCCCTGCTCGCCCCAGGAGATTTCCTACTAGAACAATTTCATGATAACACCCTGCACTCAGCCTTTGACCAATGGATAAAAATTGATGGTCACATGGTACACCCTGATGCAGCGCTGACCTACCAGCATTTTGTACTGATCAGAGATAGACTTCATAGAGTGAGTCATGACATTCCCAGTTGTTGGTTTCTAAAAGCCGCCAGAAAATGATATCGCCGTCGGCTCTAAAACTCCATGGCAAGGCATATGGGATATGAAAAAACTCAGGTGGACTGGCATCTCTACTGCACGTTTTACCATAATTTTGGGTTGGTGCGATTAATGTACATAAGTTTAAGGATATCATGGTTTCATCTGTTGAAAGTTTTTTTTCTGAACTGTGCATGCCCTTGAAGTTTTTACCAGCTCTCTGACAGGTTTCTGTTTTTCTGCCTAATGATGTCCTCCATCACTTCCATTCTTCTATTTGGGCCTCATATTTAGAAATCCAGTGGAAAGCAACAGTTTGTGTCACGGCTCAACGGCACGAGGGAACAGGGATGGACACAGGCGCAGAAACCAACCCGGAAGCGAGGTGACAGAAAACAAATGATTTATTTCCGCCCACAGGTAAACAAAGGTGAAACACAAAGCGACGCCACCACACTAGTGGTGCGTAGGACTCGTCGGTGATAATGAGGGCGACCTAGACACCTCTAGGAGACGGCTGAGCAGCGGGGACAGCGGGGAGGTAGAAACAGGACTAGGTAGGGGCCGGGGGCACTGGAACAAGAGGAGATCACGATCAGAGGGATCCAGCAGACAACCAATAATCCTCCGCAGTTGAATTGAATTGCCTTACTTGGTTTCAGATGGAGGGGACAGGTGGAGCGGAAAACCCGGAAGCGGTCGAGGCGTGGGGAGGCAGGCAGGTGAGCGGTGGGCCGGCAGGCCACGTTGTGTAAGCAGCTGGCGGCCCAGGTCCAGGAGGACGGGAGTGAGGGGAACAAGATCTCCACTCCGGGTGCTATCGCTGAGGACAAGAAAAGACAGGTCAGTCATCACACGGCGTTAAGACAAGGTTTAGGATGCTCCACTGAACTAACATGGGAATAGCAGATACTCAGGCGATGAGTGGTTGAGAGCGCAGGTCTGATATACCGCTGGCACGATTGCTCACAGGTGGTCAGCCAGGGAGGGGCAACCGGACTCCGCCTAAAGGAGGAGGAGCCGCTGTCTGAGACCTGCAGGTGCCCAACCAGACCATGACACCTTGAATCAAATTAATATATATTATCTGTTTTATTCGTCATGAGATACAAAAGAAAGAAAAAAAGTCTCCCCCGGCCATGAAACCACTTGCCAGTCAATTGTACAATTGCCTCTACAAAGCCTCTGAAAGTGTAAAACAGCTATGATTTCTGAACAGTTAATGCACAATTTTTATAAGATGCCTTTAAATTAAAGCCAAAAGTCAGCACTGCAATCACATCTTGACTGTTTGAATTAAAATCCACTGGTACTGATGTACAGAGGCAAAACTACAAAAATCTTATCTGTCCATAAAGTTCTTAACTCTACATCGTCCCTATCAAGACCTGTGAAAAGATCAGTGTTTTTCTAGTAGCTTCTATCCTGTCATTTGCACCTCTCAGCCAACTGAAGATGTAAACATTATTCTAACACTGATATGCAGATTTCATTCTACAATTAATAATTAATAAACAATAGAAAAAACAGTAATAAACAAGAGAAATATGCTGTATATTCAACTAGAATGAACACTTAATTGATTGCTATGTGCATAGCAGAATCTACAGTAGCCCTGCTTTGTGTGAAGCGCTGGATCATAACCTTTTCAGTTTTCTGTTGCGGTTAAAGTCAATGGAATTGATCAAATTAAGGTCCAAAATCTAAGAATACAAAGATGTTGTCATTTTGTGTTGGCAATTGATGATAATTTTCCTCATGGCTACAACAATTTAAATGTTCATATTTCATAGCAACATAGTCAAGCACAAAAGTAAGAAAAGAAAATCTGAGTAATTACCTTCAAACTGAAGCATAAAAATCAGGATTGTTAAAAGTGAAGAAATGTGTTGTTGCATCTCTCTCTGCAGGCTCAAATTAGGCTCTCTGGCACAGAAGAACAGAAGTGATAACATTTCCTGTTCCTGGTTTCAGAGAAAAACTTGTGAAATAGTCCCATTCGTCACCCAATGTATCTGCAGTTTGACAGGGTATGTATGAATCTGAATGTGGGTCACAGTCCCTGGCATTGGGCACTTTTTTGTTTGATTTTACTGCTGTTCTTGTGCTCTACATTCATTTATTTTTTTATTGTTTGAGATTTGAATTCCCATTTTGATTTTGTTATTTTTGTAAGAGTAATTTCTAATGATACTGTTGAGTCTTTGTCTGTTTTACTGTCCATGTGTTACTCTTCCTGCTCTCTGCCTCATCTTTCTCTGTTCTGTAAAATTAGCTTTGTGTCTCTTTCTTGGTAATGATAACTGGACTTGCTGTCATACTGCTTTTTACTACAAACCACCAAGGGTGATCGTGGCTCAAGAGTTGGGTGTTTGGCTTATGATCGGAAGGTTGCTGGTTCGAGCCCCGGCTCGGTTGTTGTGTCCTTGGGCAAGACACTTCACCTACCGCCTACTAGTGATGGCCAGAGGGGCTGATGGCGCGATATGGCAGCCTCGCCTCTGTCAGTCTGCCCCAGGGCAGCTGGACAACTGTAGCCTGCCTTCAATGTGAGAGTGAATGAATAGTGGTATTGTAAAGCGCTTTGAGGGGTCCTGAAAAGCGCTATATAAATGCAATCTATTATTATTAATTCAAATAGGCCTTCAAGCACTTTTTCTAGCAGTCACACACACTCATGGCTACATCCAGGACAATTAGGAGATCAAACCTAGTCAAGAGCAGATGGAACCTGGGACTGAACTACTAATCTTAGAGATCTCTAATTGTTAGAGAACAGGTTCTACTGCCTGAAATCAACAGGTATGTGTGGCGGCGGTGTGATCGCTAGCTAAGCTGCAGGGGAGGACTGGGGCAGTTAGGCTCAAGTGGGTGGTGCCAAGGAGGCTGGAGGGACAGGTGGCGATGATTTGCCTAACAAGGTTTCTCCCTTTTTATATAGTGAAGCTAGAGGGAGGGGTGTTCGCAGATGACTAACTCAAAAGTTGGTGAACAGTGTGCCAAAACATAAAGCCACATGTGTGGTGCTTCAATAAACACTCCTCAAGTGAACAGCATCACAGTCTGTCGGGTCAATCTTTACAGTATGATGTCATTACCTACTGACCAATCAGTTATCTCGAAAAAAAATGTGACCATTCCTGTGAGTACTAGAGTTTGGGGTGGGGGGTTGATGGTATTATAATATCTTTTGTAGCTATTTTATGTATTCACACAGGGATATGATAGTTTATTAAATAAATTAAAAAATAATCTGTGAATGCTAAAAAAAAATGAGGGCTCATCTCCTGCACTAACATCCTGAGATAACATCATCAGAGCAAACTTATATTAAATTGGCTCAACCAAAAAAGCACCCAACACTGGACACACTTAGACAAAGCTACCTCTAAATGCAGAGCATGCCGATGGTAAAAGTGGGATAGCAACCTCCTTATTCATGGGGATCAAAGAAATGTGATTCAGAAGGAGGTACATTTTTGGATTATTCAATCCTATCTTTAGGGTTTTTTTCTAATTTGCGCAGCTTCATCTCCTTGTTCTACCAGTGACATGGAGATCAGTTTCAGTATCTGTTGTGAATGATATCTCAATTGCTAAAATACATCTGGAGGACAAAGAAGACTGGAGGCTTGCCAGAAAAGCTGTGTTCAATGATGGAGAGGTGCACCCAAGTGTTTTTGCTTTCAGCATATAGCATATTGATTAATGATCTTTGATCAGTGGTTGTTGATCAATGGTCATGACAATTTGCATATTAATGATCAAGGAACTGACCTCACAACCCATTGTTCATTTAGTTGGCTTGTTTCAGTTATTGTCCAAATGCACTGTTTATAAGGTCTCAGCTGAGAGTGATGAGTGACGAAACGTTTCTCCCATTGAAAAGGTGGGGTCCAGGTGAACAGAATCAACCTTTTGAGATTCAGCATTTAGAGTTTCCAAAAGAAGAATGTGAGGCAGCGCTTTTAGCTGTTGGCCTCTTCTCCTGTGCTGCCAGTTGGGATTTCAGAAGTCAGACGCCATCACTGCTTTAGGATTAGACTCCTAATTTTCATTTTTGATAAATCTCATAGGGATGATTCAGATGACTCTGAATTATCCTTTAGTTATGCTACTACAGGCTAAGGCTGCTAATGCACTGAGCATTTCTTCTCCATTCACAGTTTTCAGCTTTATTTATCTTCAGGAATCCAAAGTTATATAAGCAAGAAGCAGCATAACTTCATTCAGGATCACTCTATTACTGCAGTTTCAGTAGGTAGAAAGTAAGATTTGACCGAAAAAGACTAAACCTGGTTACAGGTCTATTTTTTTAGTTGGATGGTGTACATTACATTATTGTTAATATACAAAAGACTTAAAGAGAATCTAAGTAGTTGCAAACGGATTAAGAAAATGTTGAGCTGAAGTATGTGCTCTGAAGTTCAATGCAGTTCAGAGTCAGCCAGACTTGCCACATTTTCATAGATCACTGTGCCATCATCGCAGTCACCAACATAATGGACCTGTAAAAAGCACACAAGCAGATGTTTAAGGGAAACTCGGGTGGCCACTGAAGTAATAACTTGAGGATTCATTATACTTCACATAATTGTTACCAAGGATCTGGCAGGTTAAAGATTAAAGTCCAGTCTAACTGTTTAGGACATTTATGTTTTCACATGCATCTTTATCAGGTAAGTCCTAGAAAAATTCAATACTGCCATGCAGGTGTGAAAACAGCTTTATATTAATGGTAACTCACGGTGAACCAACTTTCTCATCATCTGTCTTACAAGCTATTTTAGTTCCTCCTAGGTTTCAAACTAGCCAGTTCACACTGACAAATTGTGTATACATGAAATCTGCTTATCAGAGCCACTTACTGTGTACTGTTTATTGAAAAAATCCTACATAACATTTAAAACAAGATCGTTTTAAACTCACGTTGCTCTCTTCAAGAAGCTTTCTGTTTCCTTAAAAAAAGAGCAGCAATTTAATTCAAACGTATACTTTCAGTAATTATAGTTATTATGTGTAATCTGAATTGGCTCACCTGTGTATCTGATGACTAAAATAGTGATGACAATCATTAGGATCAGTGCTGCCATGCGAAGATGCCACATGGCATAGCTCAGCGGAGACTGGTCCATGGACTCTCTAAAGTCTGCACAAAGCACATGGTTCACAGTATTTCTTCATGCATTTCAGCGTTTGAATATTTGGAAACTAAAGTAGGACTCAAAGTTATTTTTACAAAATGCAGCACTGTGGAATAAAAGAGGCCATTTCCCTAAACATTGGGTTGGGGGTTTTTTTCTATATAAGTTATTGTATGCCTTTATTTTCTGTAAGAGTGGAGACTACACTGTACTCCAGAGGTACATTATAACAGTCAATTTTTCTTGAATGTTCCTAACTGGAATGTGATTATTAGAGCTATTCTATCAATCTGTTTTCTTATCCAAGTCATCATTGTGGAGGGGTTTGAGCCAATCCTAGCTGCCATAGGGTGAGAGGCGGGGTTCATCCTGGACAGGTTAAAAGCTATTTGAATTCTTCAAATACTAAGGAAAGAAGTCTTAAATGCTTTTTTTTAATCACCTCCTATAGCAAGGGATTCACCAGACCAAAACATTAATTAGAGTTTGATTCAGACCTGGTCCTGTATGTTGGTAAGATCTGCCAATGACGTTACAAATTGTTTGAAAATTAGGACACCCTGGAAGGTAAAAAGAAGAGCATTGTAGAGTTTAGAAGCAGCTGCTTTGAAACCTTGGTTTCAGCTGTGGACCAAAACACTACTATCGTTTTAACCTGGTCTGGCTTCTACTGTCTTTTTGTCTTTTTCTTTGAATCACAATTTTAGGTGGTGGCCAACCTGATGGAAGGCAGCAGGCTTGGGTGGGAAACGACTGACAGTTACACTCCCAGGTCGGAGCATGGAGCCCACTACCACAAGACCTATGACAACCCTGAGTGTGGTGTCCTTGAACCCTGAACTGGCCAGACTTTAATTTCCAACCCACAAGTTACCATGGTGGTTTTCCCCTCGTCACCGATAGAACTTATTGTCTTTTCAAATCTAAGGCAATTTGCCTTTTTAAAAATGTATTTATAGCAGCGACTTGCACATATTAGGTAGAATTAACCAGCTTATTTATTCTACCTAGAGGTGTGTAATGAGCTATGGAATCTGTGGACTCTGTTCATCAGTGTTTAATAGGTAAAAATCATCTAATCGTTATATATAACCTACCTATGAAGACTGGTGTGTAGTGAGTTTCCATCTTCACATTGTTTTCCTCAACAATCTGGCAGGTGTATCGTTTGTTGTGGTCACTGTGAAGCTTCACTGTTAGAAGTGAAATGCATGTGCGTCCAGTGTATCTGACTTTATTAAGCAGCACAGTTCCTGTGTCATCCACCCAGCGGATGCTTATCTCGTCACAAGGGAGGCTACTGAGTCTGAACAAAGAGCACTTTAATGTGATGTTTCCATTCATCTGTAGGTCGGGGTTTGATGGAGATGCTGAAACTGAAAATGAGTGACGAAAGTTACCTCAGCATTAAGAAAAAAGTGGAATGTGAATTTAAATGCAAGTTCTGTAATTTCTTCTTACTGTCACAGGTTTACTGAGTGATTGTCCTGTAGAAAAAGTACTTTTGCACATTGAATATATGTAACTTTCATCCAGATGTTACTGTAAAATCTTGCTCCTTTTATTGCATAGGCATATCGAGTTAAAGCTCAGACTCCACCAAAATGGATTCATTCAGTTACTCCAAATATGCCTAATGATGGATTAAAATCAAGGCTGGATCCCTCACAGAGCCTGTGGGGATGATGGATGTTTAATCCTTAGTGCGGAGTGTCATGCACAAATTTGTTTTTGAGGGAAAGGACCTCAGAGATTTTTTTTTTTTAAAAAAGGATATTAATGACCATGATACTCTGCAAAGACCCAAATCATTTATGTTCAAGTACTCACTAGTCAAAATATTTAGATAGACAGTTGTGTCCTGGCCAGTGGTCCCCTCAGGCCGACAGTTGTAAACACCAGCATCCTCAGTAGTGATGTTGTTGATGCACAGAGAGCAGTCACTGTGAAGACTTAGTCTGGCAGCTTGGGTTGAGTTCTTAACATCTCCATGATAAACCACCTGTGTTGTCTGAGATGGCTCTCTGTTGTAAAACCAGGTAACCATGGAGCACGTATCAGGCGCCTTGTCACAGGGCAAAATGACATAATTTCCTGGTCTGTGATAGAGAAAGTATGGTTCACCACTGATTCCTGCTGCAAAGGAAAGGAAAGTTTCTGTGATGAATGACACGCATCATCCATCCTCTTCCCCGCTCACCCGTCCTTTTCAGGGTAGCAGGAGCCCATCCCAGCTGTCTTAGGGTGAGAGGCAGGGTACACCCTGGAGTGGTCACCATCAGGGTTAACACAGAGAGACAGACAACCATTCACACCTATGGGCAATTTAAAGTGACCAGTTAACCGAACTGCATGTCTATGGACTGTGGGAGGAAGCCAGAGTATTCAAACTCCACACAGAAAGACCCCAGCCTGATGGTGGAATTGAACTCAGGACTTTCTTGCTGTGAGGCAACAATGCAAATGCAACTAAACAAATAATGAACGTAGACCTTAACATTTGCAACATGCATACATAGTGCATGAGTTCTTATATGAATAACTTTCAATGATATCTAACTTTACTGTACATCTCATGTAATCCAAAATCAAGACTAATTAAAAATAAATTCTACATAAAATTGAGAATCACTCCAAATATAACTCAGTCATTATTACTATTCTTTTTTTTCTCCCAAATACTGGTTACTTTTTAAAAACTGTTACTGAAGCTTATGAAAGTGGCATCTCTTTATCATTTCTGCAAAATTATTCAAAGAAATTTAACATAAACTGTCATGGCATTGCAGGATAGAGGACCCAAATGCAGACCCACGGTGACAAACTGAAGAAACACAAAACAACCTTTTATTTTGGCCTAGCATCATGAAAAAAAAGCAGATTTACCTTCAAACCGAAGCACAAAAACCAGAAATAATTTCCAAAGAGCCATTCTGCACCATTCCCTGTCAGCAGGCACACACTGTGAGGTATTTCTGTTTTGTCTTTGAGCCCATCACACGCCACCCATTCTGTCATGAGTTTGGATTTCTTCACATCCGTGTCTGCAAATAGACTACACGCAAGTGCTTTCAATGAAAGACACTGCTAACAGGCTGTTTGATTTATTTGCTCTGACAGTCTTCCAAAATTAAAATATACATCAGTATCATTTACCCAGCTGAGTACTGTGTTGTGGTTCAGTTGTGAGGAACTGTTGCTAGTGCAAAATTTTTCTTTGCATAGTTTGTTATTTCTGTTTCCTTTGTTTATTGCCATTTTGGGACTGCCATCTCCCCTTTTTCTTTTTCCTATATATTTTTATCAGCACCTTAAGCTTAACCTAAAAATAAAATCAGTTGTTTTGAATCTGGACTTGTTGACTTGTTTCCCCATTTGGACATCTAATTGTTATTCCTCCTCATAGTTCTATGATTCTGACATGACTGACTACACACTGTGGACGCTGAGGAGGACAACCCGAGTAAAGACGGAGAAGGAATTAATTTAAACAGGAACTAAGAACTAGAACTTAAGTAACAGAGGCACTCTACACTGAACATCGGAAACTCAATATTCTGCAAAAATCAAGAACAAGTCAACCAAGCTCAAACACCTAGGTCAAATACCCAGGACCATGAGGAGAACAATTTAATTTATGGATGACTTAAACTAAAAAATTAAATAACATGTCAAAAACACTCACACACACAATTATACAAAAATAACTTTTTACTTCTTTAGTTGGATGAACTCATGTATTTTACGGTAATGTTGCCATATTTCATGTTTGTATGTATTTGAAGCTGACAAAGATGTAGGGTTATGTTTATCTCTGACAACAGCAAGCTTAAATAAAAGCAGTGACATTATGAGATGTTTTATTTCCTCTGATTTATTTTTGGTAAGTTTAGCTGATGATACTGTAGAAGCCGCTGGGGTCACTTTCTACCTTTGTCTTCACTGCAGAATAAGTCACCGCTTCCTCCTTTTTAACCTGTATAACAGAAAATTAAAGGATTTAAATAATTCAGACCATAACAAACACTAGAGAGTAGAGTCAAAGGAGCTTGCAAAGATGACCTGGATGACTGAGAACCTTCACAGACACTAGAGAGTAGATTTTTTTTTTTTTTTTTTTGCTTTTTTTGTTTCTCAAAAAATTCACTGATTCAAATCAAATGGGTTAATGAATAAAACATGAATCTACAACTGTTATATAGCCCAAAAGTAATTTAAAATGGAATATAAGTAAAAAAACAAAAAAACAATAGTTACAGTTTTCCTCAGTGAGGCATTTTGATCAGTGTGGTCAATAGTAGCATAGGTGATGCTGCTCTCTGGCTCATCCTGAAAGCAAACACAGTGGTTCAAAAAGCAAAGACATGAATGAAAACTACTTTAGGTTCTATTTCAGACACATGATGATCAAACATAGTCTCAAAAACTAAATGTTAACTTTCAAATAAAGACTTGATTTTGGCTTTACTCTTATTTTAGTAAAATTCTGTATAAAAGGGTGAAACTAACCAAAAAACCCTTTTAAAACGTCCACTAAAACCAGTGAAGTCAGAGAAGAGGAATTACAAGCAGGCTGAGGTTATTATGCCATTGTGCCAAAAAAAAGTAATTGTTGTTCCTCAGTTACTCATTGCATCTCAAACCAGCTTTAAACTGCTGCAAAGTGCACCTGTCCACTTAGTCACAGGTATGTATTTTTTCCCCTCTCTATACATACAGACTTTAAATAACAGATGGATGTAGTGTCCTGGTTTTAATAATTTAATATAATGAAGACAGTACCAAGAGAGGATGCTTTAAATGCATGTGATTATGCATAGCAGATGTTGACAGATGTTTGATATATCTGCCACTGTCGATTTGACTTTTGCACACATTACATATCGCTTTGGTTTCACCTACAGTACTGATTGTAAAATGTTTCCACAAATGCATAAAATTCGACACAACTACACAAGCATTGTTCTAACCTTTTAACCGAACGTTAACGTTACTCTGTCAACAGCCTATTTGTAAATGACCGCGCTAACAGAGCTATGTAAACAGAACGAAGACTGCAGTCGTCAGTAATGCAGCGTAATGGAATAGTCTCCCGATCTTCGCGAAAGTTATAAACAGCGTCCGGAACCCAGTTAAGGTACAAAAAAATCTATTCAACAAGAATAGTGATGCAGTTCAGTCTTTTTTCGCTCAGCTGACCTGTCTCTGTAGTTGTGTGGAGCAGCCTGTGTCAGTCACCTCTTTCACACGTCACTCACTCATCCAGTCATGCACAGCGGTTTCATAAGGAAACTCAGCTTTTTGATATAAAGTTTTTCTTGTTCCCGAATACAAATATATTTTTAAAGTATTTGTTCGAAATAAGTATTCGTAAAAAAACACGTTATTTGTGCCTCTCCGAATACCGTATTCGGGTTCAGCATACACAGTAATCTGATGAATCCAGGTTGTTAGAGTTTGTATTGTTGATTGTCATTTATGCTTAGAAATATTTAACCATAGATGCTTAGAGGTGTATAATCAATTGTGTAGTGATAAGTTGTGTGATCTTTAACAGGCTACAGAGGCTTGGTGTGCATTCCACACTAGAATGCACACCTAAATCCTGGGAGCACGGGAAGAGGTCGCATCTTGTTTTAATTGTTTTATGGTAGGATTAACGTAGTTGCGTCTGTTCTAGTCTAAGTGCTCTTTGTTTAGATGAACTGCTGGACTTCCTCACCGGGGGGGTCTAGTCTACCCTCTTCCTGACCAAGGATGTTTGACCCTTTGATCAGCAACACACACACACACACACACACACACACACACACACACACACACACACACACACACACACGCAAGGTACTCTTTGTTTGTATGTAGACGTCGTATGTTAATGAACCTATGCATATTCATGTAACCTCAATAAAAGGACAGTGTATGGGGGAACGGACGAGAGCTACTGGGGTCAAGCGAAGGAACGGTGCCTGTCCGGTTCTCTCCCGTGCACGAGTACCATGAAGAAGTTTGCCTACTTGCGTCTTGCTTGCAGTGTAATTATATTGTCTTAACGTTCCAGCGAATAGGTTTATGCTACAAACCTATCATTAATTGGTCCTTCGAGAGCCGGAGCCCTGGAATCGCATTCACCGAGGGGAGGAGAGGCACGCTGAAAGACTGACGTCAGCCAGGAAGTTCCTGTGGATTCGCTGTATGTCTTTTCTCCTCGATGAATGGCGATTGGCGGGATTCGAGGCTGATATTACACGCTAAGCAACACCGAGTAAGTTTAGAGTCCAACTCTATAACTGTACGTCTTCGCCGCTCAGTGGGGCGTTGTCCGTGGCCGCTTAGTGGGGCTAAAATTACGTCTTCGCCGCTCAGTGGGGCGTTGTCCGTGGCCGCTTAGTGGGGCTAAAATTCGCCGTCTAAGTGGGGCGATGTACAAGGCCGCTCAGTGGGGTTTTTTGTACAGAAGCATTAAGTCGCAGAGTTGCGCAGTTCGAACTTTTTTTGGTTCGCCGTCTTAGTGGGGCGAAATACAGACCGCTGTGTGGGGTACTGTAGTGAGTTCTCCACCGCTCAGTGGGGTGTTGAGAAGTTCCGCGGGGTCCAGATTGTGCTGGACAGTAGGCCTATTTTGTGTTGTTGTCATTGTCGTCGTCGTTGTTGTTGTTGTTGTGTGTGCGGAGCAGAACATGTGGTCTGTGACACCGACTGTTGTTGTTATCATGGGTTTCTAAGCAACCAAGAGTGAGTCGGAGGGAGACAGACGTTTGTGCTGGACTTTGCTCCTGGCAGCACAAAGTATTTATGTAAAAAAAAAGAGAGAGCGACGGCTCCACAGCTGCGCGGGTTCACGCGAGCGCGGTCACGCGGACCTGAGCCGTGCGGTTAATCGCAGGCTTATAAATGGAAGAGATTCAAATGTTAGAAGTTTTCAGAAAACACACCAGCCTTGGAGAGCTGTGGAGAAGGCCAGCCCACATCAGCAGCACTTAAGATATGCTCTGGTGAATGGCTTTCCCCCCACCCCTTGCTGACACAATGTTTATTCTTTAGCTTGCCCTGATCGACAGCAGCCTGTGTGCCAGACCATAGATTTAATTGAGGTGGATGGTTGTTAAAAGTAATCTACATTAAGCTTGTGGTTGCTTAAATTCAGTACAATGACATGTGAGGTGAAGTGATATAGATAAATATTTAAACTCATGAAGTGCATAGAGGCACTTGACCTGTGTGGAAGACTGTCGTCTTATTATGAGCCATTGTTGAGATATAGAGCACATCTGTGAAAACAACTAATATGCTCAACCCTGTATGAAACATCTAAAAATACATGATGGAGAAGCTGTGTTGAATATGTAAGTGTAAGACTTTGCCACTGTGGGCAGAGCATGCAACTACTGTGTGATGTCGCGTTGCAGTTTTGTTTTTGTTTTTTGAGCTGATGAGCAAGCTACACATTATCAGATCAAGAGCTGTCTGAGAACTACTCAAAGAGAGGGAAACAGAGAGTGTGCAGCGTTTCCATGAGCAGTTTTCCTGCATCTTGACTTGTGTGTAGAGTGTTCATAACATCAGCATCATGTTTTTGTTTATTTGTTTTGTTGGGTTGAAAATAATTAAATAAATGTGTGATCATGCCTATGGATCACCATGGCACTTATCTCCAGCCATATGATTTATTTATGCAGATGAAAAAGTGAGTGTGAATGTGTCTGACATCACAGTGTTTTTGTGCGCTGTGCAAAAGTAATTGCCTCTGATTGTGAGTGAGAGCAGTGATTTTGCAGACCACCAGCTATTGTGAAGAAAAAAAAAGAGTGAAAAAGAGACAAAAATTACATTGTAGACGAAGAGAAATAATCATAGGAAAAAGGTTTTGTGTTGATCAGCCGAAAAACAACTACAATGTCATTTTCTGCTTTTAAGAAAGGATTGTTCACACAAACACAGACAGAGAGAGAGAGAGAGATGTGTGTTGATTAAACAGCAGATGATGATAATGAACATGTCTTAGTTTGTCACTTTCAGGTGAAAAGCAGACCTGTATCAATTTTCCACATGCAACAGTCGGAAGAAAGTTATAGTTTAACATCATTGGAAACATGCAGGCCAAGTTTCTGGCTGACTTATTTACAGTGCCATGTGTTTCTCAACCTCACAAGCGAGCTCTCACTCCTCCCTGAAGATAAGGAATGCAGCTCCAAAGCAATAACATGATAAAGAGACAGCAGCAAGTCCTGAGCACAAAAAGTCCCAGCAAAGCAGCAGCAATGTGGATAAACAGCAGCAGAAGAAGAAAGCAAACCCATCTTCCTGTCTGATTGGTTGAATTTCACGGAGGGGCGAGCAAGATGGCAGCGTGAAGAGGAGTTTTTGTTTGAGTTCTCAGCACGAGACACTTATTTGACGTCTTTCTGGCCTTCGGGACTTTTTTGGAGATCAGTGCGCTAAACTTGCTGGATCTGAGGCCAGGGTCTGCGGCGGCAGCATGTTGAAATGCTCAAAAAGGACTGAGTGACTCGGGTAAGCCACATGTGGCTAGCGACATGAAAGAAATGGACCCTTCATGATGCGTTCAACGTGCCAGCGCTGTGGTGGGAAAGGCTCCATCATAAACACGCCCTGCGCCCTGCGCCGAGGTTCAGGCCAAGAAGAAGAAGACGATGACTTCCAAGCCCAAGAAGGTCGGCCTCAGCGTGGGCGAGCTGATTGTGAAAGCCGTGGCCGCTTCCAAGGAGCGCAACGGCCTGTCTGTGGCCGCTCTCAAGAAGGCTCTGGCTGCCGGAGGCTACGATGTGGACAAGAACAAGGCCCGTGTCAAGACCGCCATCAAGAGCCTGGTGGCGAAGGGCACTCTGGTGCAGACCAAGGGCACCAGGACCTCCGGATCCTTCAAGATGAACAGGGCTACTGAGAGCAAAGCCAAGAAGCCCGCCGCGGCCAAAGCCAAGAAACCGGCAGCAGCTGCTAAGAAGTCGCCCAAGAAGGCAGCGGCAGCACTTCAGACACTAGCACAAAGTCAACCGCATCAGAGGAGGGACAGGACAAAGCTGAAGGAGAAACTGCCTGCTATTGGACTATTGAAGTGGCAGAGGACAATAGTGAGAGTGGTGAGAACACAAATTTTGTTATTAAATGTGGGAAATCAAAATTTGGGTTAGCAAACCTGGGGAAAAAGAAAACTGACTGCTTAAGTTGGAAAATTGAGACGGAGTCTGAAACATTGCGAAAATAGAAACATATACAAAATCACACACACACAAGCAGAACATGCATTAACCCTACTAACAATTCCAAACACAAAATGACTCATGAAGACTCATAGCACATTAGTTAAGAAATGATTAAATAATAGCAGAGAAATGTGTAGGAAAGGCAGCTTTAAGAACATGCTCTGCTGGAGATGCAGCTCCACAGACATGCATTAGACCTGCCTAATAACACAAACCCATGTAATGAAAATTAGCTTGTTATCTTTCATCAGTGTTAAAATAGTGTCAATTTAGCAGACACTTGTTATCAAATACTGAATTTATCCTAAAGAAAAAAATTGACTCTCCAAGTTGCAGGACAACAATTTAACTTTTGTGGAAAAAAAAAAAAGATCCTGGTTTGATAAATCAGTGATCAGACAATAAATTTAGTTGTTAAAATGGTAAATTGGGAGAAGCTTTCTGCTTGATTGAGGCAGCACAAGTAATTTACTGTATGAGGGAAATTGTCTTTTGTGATACTATTTTGAACATGCATTTCTGTCGTCCTGTCAACTTAGTGGGTTAATAGCTGATATGCAAATTAGTTGATCGGTTTTAGATTAATGAAAGGTGATTGAATTCTAGTATGAGTGAATGAGATGTGTTGGAGTTGTTGTGTGTTGAGTGGAGACTCTAAAACACTGAGTTTCCTGTTTTGATGTGCGAGTGAATCCTGTATTTAGATACACAACTCTGAATACATCAGAACAAACGTCTTTTGTGAAGTGCATGACAGCATGTCACATGTTTTATGATGAAGGGAAAAAGGAAAAATTGAATAAAATAGATCTGTGGCTTAAATGAGTGAAGAGCACAGACCGGGTGATTAAACTCATAGCTAATATGACATTAGGGTTATGTTGTGTGTTGTGCAGTTGATGGTTGGTTTGGAGTGAATCTAGCTGATGATTCTTCTCCTGTTGTGAAGTTGATGAGGAGTTTGTGTCGTGACTTAACAAGGCCTTTTTATTTTGATACTTTCACAGTGCACTGAGAGTTTGGTTTGATAATCTCTGTTATTTTTTATTTTTCATTTTTGAACAAGCACTGATTTTTGCTTGTGAATTTCTTTTCTTTGAGCAGATCTGCAAGTCGGGAATTAAAAGCGTTACACGTCGTCAAGAAAATTGTTGCAAGTGAGTTTCTCCACATTTAAAATGGGCTCAGGAGAAAGCCACTTATTTGGGACAATTAGGAAATGAGAGTCCCCCCCAAAAAGGATTCAACGAGGAAATCCAGTCTAAATTATTTTTCTTTTTGAAATAACGTCGTTTTGCTGAGCGTGGAAACTAATGCGATGATAATTTCCACAATTAGCAAAAGAAGGAACCACTGAGTGAATGAGTAAGAATTTTAAAATAACTGACTGACTGACTGAACATGATTGTGTGAAGTTAACCCCCACCTGACAAAGGTGCAGATGAACCCATGTGTTTCCTTTTACTGGAGCAGAAAGATGACAGCAACACTCGAGGTTGCATGATGATTTAACCTTTTAAATGCCATTTTCTGTGTCTGTGCATTTATCAGGTGTGTTATTCATAGGCTTGTGTTGCTCACAGAGATAACTGTGACAAAGTATGCATACGCCTGCGCAAGCGCTAATATTTGCATTTTCTTTTCTTACAGCATGCCAGTTCTTCATGTGAATTGATGATGCGATTTATACCAGGACAACTGGTTGATGTTTTTTCCTACTACAGGATTTCTGGGTTTATGTGTGAGGACAACTGTGTTTACAGGTTATGAGTGGTGATGCTGTTGCATTGTGTTGATGGGAAAATGTGAAGGTTACTTTGATAATGTGAATAACATGTGTGAAATTTCCTGTGTTGAGAACTGGTGTTACTTCTTTCCACAGCTAGGGTTGACTTTATGGTGTTTTTATGGCACCTCTGGAACCTGTTGACCTGTGTCTGACTTCTGTCTGACTACAGTCAATGTGTATTGCTAATGTTAGTTTCTTTGAGAATGCTGTGGAAGATTCAGCTGAAACGGACAAGTGACATGAGTAAAACAAATAAGAGATACAGTGTTTCTGGGATAGTTTGATATGGGCTCATTAGCTGGCCACTTTTGAGCCCATAGTAATATATAAGTGGAGTGACTTTGCTTAAGAGCAGTCACCGATTACATTAATGTTGCCTGAGTACATGGGATGATCCATGTCTGAGGCGACTTATGAAAATAATTGTAGTTTACTGATTTGAGAAAACCTGCACATGACACTTGTCTTGCTGATGTTGAATGCTTCTTGTCCTTATGATACAATTGTTTACAGGTATGGAGTTTGATTTTACTTCCAGATTTTGTTTTCCAGGCCATGATGGTGTGTATGCAGGCTCCTGGGAGAGCCAGGTGTTAAGCAAACTTAATATGCAAAGCACACTAACATTTTCATTGCAGGATTATAGGTCCAGGGTGGTGCTGCTCCAGGGGAGGAGATGCCCTGATGTTGCCTGGGATATGATCTAGCTAATCTTTTTCTTTAAGACAGGAATCCAGGTTTGGTGAGTTGACGCATGGGTGTGTCCATGCGTCAAGAGGAGGGGTCCAAGGATTAACATTAAACAATGTTTTTTATTATTGTTGCAGTGATTTGTGTGATTAGCCGTTTTATTTACAAATATTAAACCTATGCAAGTGGTGCACCCATGTTCAGATGAGGCTTTGATGGCCTATAAGTGAAGTTCACTGAACTAAAGAATGTGGTTTGATGATTGTTGACATGCTCTCCAAATAGAAGTTTTTCTTCTTAGCAAGGAAATACAGGTGCAGCAGTAATCTCCTGAGAAATCTTCAGAGGCCCAGTGAGAAGCGTGAACCATTCCAGGCATAGCTGACAGCCAGGCAGTGGTTGAGGTCAAAGGTCAAGCTGGTTGGGGCCCATCATGAGATCAGACCTTGGAGCCACAGCAAGGACCATGAAACTGCCTGCAAAATAGAGGAGAGGATCGTCCACAAGATGGGAGCTGAGGCCAGGAGAGAGGCTTCAGGAGGATCAGAGATCATCTTCAGCACAGCAGACATCACACAGAGAGCTGTGCTACTGAGTTTCCAGGAGATTTTAAATAAAATGAAAGATTCAATATTGATGCTGAGGAAGACAACTAAGGTGTACGACGTGCTCTGCCTTAAACCTTCAGCAGCGTTAGAACATGTAAACTCGAGGGATGAGGGGAGCGTGCCAAGCTCCATCGACAACGCAGAAGGAGTTCGAGGATGACATCATGATTCTGTGAAAGCACAGGAACCGGAAGCTATGGTGGTGATGACAGCAGTTTCCTATGAACATCACCTAATGCTGTGCCACTATACTGTGCATACGATGACACTCTGAAGGCTGCTGGGATCACAACAGCAGTAAGATAACGGAACCCAGCACCCTTTCCACAGAGAGCTTTTTCTGCAGAGCGTGGACAATTAAGGAGTCGTAAATATCCCCCTCACAGGACGAAGGCCTGAAGTGAGGTAATGGGAGGCCATAAAATTAGAGTGCTGAGAGGTCTGCAGCTTTGGAAATAGCTGAGAACCATGTTGACAAACAACAAAACCAACTGGTATGTTTGAATGTTTATTCTACATACATTTGGACTCTGGTCCTATGAACAACGAAACAACTAGAAGAGACATTATGACGCCCTGCAGAACTCAAACCACTCTGCAGAGAGACATGTGATGTGCACACCCGGAGGAAGCATCACCAAGCTGAGATGTTTTTGAAAATGTTACTTTTTTATTTTCACTATTAAATTAACAATTTCTTTGGTTGCTCGTAAGATGCAGTTTGCCATGAGATGAGCTCAATGAATGGGGTAACTGCTAATACATTTATTAAACTGTGTAACTTTTACAGTAATTTAGGGTGATTTGACATTAGCTGAGTAAAAAAATGTTTGCATTGAAACTGTCAGACATGAGGTATTCATAACTGGGAACTTTTCTAGCATAAAGGTCAAAAACGGGGGAATGTTAGAGTTTGTATTGTTGATTGTCATTTATGCTTAGAAATATTTAACCATAGATGCTTAGAGGTGTATAATCAATTGTGTAGTGATAAGTTGTGTGATCTTTAACAGGCTACAGAGGCTTGGTGTGCATTCCACACTAGAATGCACACCTACATCCTGGGAGCACGGGAAGAGGTCGCATCTTGTCTTAATTGTTTTATGGTAGGATTAACGTAGTTGCGTCTGTTCTAGTCTAAGTGCTCTTTGTTTAGATGAACTGCAGGACTTCCTCACCGGGGGGGTCTAGTCTACCCTCTTCCTGACCAAGGATGTTTGACCCTTTGATCAGCAACACACACACACACACACACACACACACACACACACACACACACACACACACACACACACACGCAAGGTACTCTTTGTTTGTATGTAGACGTCGTATGTTAATGAACCTATGCATATTCATGTAACCTCAATAAAAGGACAGTGTATGGGGGAACGGACGAGAGCTACTGGGGTCAAGCGAAGGAACGGTGCCTGTCCGGTTCTCTCCCGTGCACGAGTACCATGAAGAAGTTTGCCTACTTGCGTCTTGCTTGCAGTGTAATTATATTGTCTTAACGTTCCAGCGAATAGGTTCAAGCTACAAACCTATCACAGGTTTAACTGGAATACTTTAGACAGCAAATTAAGCCAATGAATTATATAAATAATAATTTAATTTATTACTATGTTCATTACTATATTTATTATAGATACATGAACTATTTACCGAGATCAGCTGGCCCAAGACTCCTTGAAGTATTTCCTCATTCTAAACAAGAAAAGGGAAGAACACATTGTCATCATATACTGTGGCACGGTCAGCATGTTGCAATTTTCCGAGTGATCAGTGGCAATAATGTGCAAGAAAAAAGTTCATTTGTAAAGGTTATATTAATATTAAACAAAGGTATTTCTGTTATATGTGAAAACATATCATATATAGTGTGTATCAATATACTTACATGTTTGGGTTGGGTGGGTTTTTGAATGTCTGGAAGAAAAAGTAGAATCAATAATCACAATGTAGAGCTTCTTAAATCAATTTTCCAGTGCAAAGTATATTAGACTGAAGTAACCGCAGTGAAAATGTAGCATTTTCACAAGTTAACATTAAGCTGCAATTATTGCAGATTGCTCAAAATGGGATAGAGCTCTTGTAATAATATATAATAGTAATAATAATATTAGATGAACTAGATGATAAGTAGATGACCCAAGAATGACCACATTTATATGTACTATAATTACTAACCCTCTGTCACTTTAGCACGCCTCCTGTATTTGATGAAAACAGCAGCGATGACGGCAACCACCAGCACCAGCATCACAGCACCAATGATGATGAAAGCCTTGTTTGGGGTGGAATCTGTCAGAGGATTCAAAGTAGTCAGCATTAAAAGTCTTTCAAAAGTCATTAAAAAGTATGTAATTCACTTTTTTAAAAGTGACTCACTCTTATATCCCATCTTATCTTAATTTACTTTTCTTATTGATGTTATCCTACCTATGAGGACAGGTGTGTAGTGAGCTTCTATCTTCACAGTATTGTTATCTTCAAACTGGCAGGTGTATCTTTTCTTGTTGCCACTCTGAAGCTTCACAGTCAGAAGAGAAACACACGTGTGTCCAGTGTTCTTGACATCTCTGTCCCACAGCACACTTCCTGTCTCATCCACCCAACGCATACTGTTTTCTTTACAAGGAGAGGGATAGTATCTAAACAGAGAGCACTCTAACGTGACGTTTCCATCGTCCTTTGGATCAGTGTCTGATGGAAATGCTGAAACTGAGCAGAGAACACAAGTGAAAACAGTTATGCAAGTTCAAAACATCTGGATTATCTTCCTAAATGTGAGAAACCTTATGAGACATTACAAATAAGTTCTATTTTTCTCCTGGTATTTTAATAGCTTAAATAAGTGATTATCTAATAGTAGTTTTACTAATTTAGAATATAAAATTTGAAATGAATACATAAGCCATGGCCAGATTTACTGCTCTCATCCAATGAAATAAAAACTCTTTTCATTTAAGGACCTGTCTCCATGTTTCAACACGAGAATTTTAATTCCCCAAGAAGGTGATACATTCAATTACATGACACGTGTAGAGGGAAATCAATGCTGTATAATAGTAAGTGTGGTGATAATGGGTGTGTTTAATGCTTAATGTACGGTGTCATTCACAGATATGGATATATGGAAGTCCATGGAAGTCTAAATACTCACTGGTCAAAATATTTAGGTCCACAGTTGTGTCCTGATCAGCGTTCCCCTCAGGCCGACAGAAGTATTGACCGGCATCCTCTGCAGTGATGTTGTTAATACTCAGTGAACAGTTACTGTGCAGACTCAGTCTGTCAGCTTGAGCTGAGTTCTTCTCAACAATTCCATTATGAACCATATTTATTGTCTGAGACTCATGTTTGCTGTAAGCCCAGATAACCATGGAGCATGTATCAGGCACATTGTCACAGGGCATAATGACATCATTTCCAGGTGTTAGATACAAGACGTGTTTGGTTTCACTGACCCCCACTGCAAAGAAAAGAGCACATTCAGAAAAATGTGTATATAGCACACATGGTCATCTTCAAACAAAAAAATGAATAAACTGAGTGCAAGAGGTTTGTCCCCCCCCCCTTTTTTTCTTTTTAGAATCATTCAATGTCCAAAGATTTCTTTGTATTATACTGAAATGGCTTTGGATTTGTCAGAAGATCACAAATCAAGTTTAAATTTGTTTCCAAACTGAACTCACGCTCATGCCACAATTCTGTCTTCCGAAATATTGACTAATTTTAACAAGTAACAAAAAAAACTTGTATGAAGCTATCAAAGTGGTTATCAAAGTAAGCAATAAAAATAAAGGAGGCTTTACCTTCACACTGAAGCACAAGAATTAGAATAAATGTAAGCAGGGCCATTCTGTGCCGTGTCAGCGCGCAAACGTTATGAGGCTTTTCTCTGCCGATGGTCTGTCTGATGCTTCCATTTCCTCTTTGACATCATCACAAACCACCAACATTATTTTAAAAGAACTTGGATTATGTAACATCTGTGCCTGCAAACACAGCTTAAAAAAAATTCACCTTAATTAGATGGATGAAAACCGTACTGGTTTGGCCTGATCGCTGCAATGATCGCTGAAACATTTTTTTTTCATACATCTCTTTTCCTTGTACTATTGTAGCCAATAAAGCACTTGGAGACTAGAGTAAAACTCCACACTGAATTTGCATATCTTAGGTTAATTAATTTTTTAAAATAATCCTGGCCATGATTTGATTTGATTTGATTTTATTGATTAGCATTCAAATTTCAATCTCAGTGAAAACAGTGAGAAAAAAAAAAACAAAAAACAGTGAAAACAGAACAAAAATCTACCATAAAGAAAGAAAGCATGAGACAAGGCTAATCAAAAGGTATTGGCTGAAGCATTTGCTTATTACGCCAACCCTTTTCACAAAATATCTTTTTGTATGCAGCTCCTGTACACAGGGCTTGAAGAAAATAATAAAACAAAGCAAAAACCAAACAAAACAAACAAAAAAAAACAAAGAAAAAAAAAACTTTCCACCTTAGATAAGTAACTACATCAAAGTAAAGAATCAAGAGGTTGTTGTTTTTTTTTCTCCTTTTTGCTCTTTTCATTCTTGATTTATATATTTTTCTATTACTCTATTTTTAAACATGTTTTTAAACAAGGAAAATGAACTACACCTTTTTAAATCACTGTCATAACTATTCCACAGGTTAACTCCTCTAACAGAAACACATCTCTGCTTTATATTTGTCCTCATCTTGTTTTTTTTAAAGAAATCTGTTCCCCTTAAGTCATATTGACTCTCTCTGACTTTGAACAGCTTCTGAGTACTGGAGCAAAGCAAGTTATTTTGTGCTTTATACATTATCTGTGCCATTTTATATTCAACTAAATCATAAAATTTCAGGGTATTCAGATTAATAAACAAAATGTTAGTTGGTTCTATATAGTTTGATTGGTTTATAATTCTTATAGCTCTTTTTTGTAACTTGAAAATATGAAGAGTGTTCGTTTTATATGCATTACCCCATATCTCCAGACAGTAAGTCATATATGGAAGCAACAGAGTACAATAAAGTGTGTATAATGATTTTTTGTTCAGGACATGCTTTGTTTTATAGAGAATAGCAATGGTTTTTGACATTTTTGTTTTCACGTGGTTTATATGAGACTTCCAACTCAGCTTATCATCAATTATCACTCCAAGAAATTTATTTTCGTACACTCTTTCAATTTCAATTCCATTAACCCTTATTTTAGATACATTTTTCACTTGTCTAGTGCCAAAAATAATCAATTTTGTTTTCTTTATATTTAATGATAACTTATTTACATCAAACCAGTTTTTTAATATATTTAACTCCTTTTCCGCTGTAGTCAGAAGCTGTTCTAAGTTTTTACCTGAGCAGTACAGAGTCGTATCATCAGCAAACAATACACATTTTAACAGTTTGGAAACACTACATATGTCATTTATATATAATATAAATAATTTAGGGCCCAGCACAGAGCCCTGAGGAACACCACAAGTTACCTTCAACTGCTTAGATTTTACATTATTGAATTCGACATATTGATATCTTTCATCCAGGTAACTTTTCATCCACTTGTATGCTATACCTCTTATGCCATATCTCTCGAGTTTATTCATTAATATAGAATGATCAATTGTATCAAACGCCTTTTTTAAGTCTATAAAAACACCAACAGTATATTCCTTATTATCTATTGCATTAGATATCCCTTCAACAAGTTCCATCACTGCCATTGAAGTGGACCTTTTCACTCTAAAGCCATACTGGTTATCACTTAGGAGATTATGCTTCTCAATATATTTATCAAGTCTATTAACAAATAACTTTTCTAAAATTTTTGAGAACTGTGGGAGTAGTGATATTGGCCTATAATTGGTAAACTGACATCTCTCTCCGTTTTTATGGATTGGAATAACTTTTGCTATTTTCATTTGTGAGGGAAACACACCAGTTTGAAAGGACAGATTACAAATGTATGCGAAAGGTTGCACTATATATTCTATAATACTTTTAACTAATATCATGTCAATACCAAAACAGTCAGTGGACTTTTTATTTTTAAATGTCTTCACAATGTTAATTATTTCTCTATGAGTTACAGCACCAATAAACATGGAGGACACATTCTGAGTAATATGTTTATTTAGGTCGTTATTATTTCTTGACTCTGGAATTTCTTTTGCTAAATTAAAGCCAACATTTACAAAGAAATCATTAAATTCATTTGCAATGTCTTTAGTTTTATCAAGCACAATATCTTTATCTTTTTTAAAATAATCTGGATAATTCTTATTTTTTGAGCCCTTTTTGATTAGACTGTTTAATATCCTCCATGTTTCTTGTGTGTTACTTCTACTTTGCTCCAATAATTTGTGGTAATATTCTTTCTTACTTGTTCTTATAATATTTACTAATCTATTTTTATATAACTTGTACTTTATTTCAGCATCTTTTGTCCTCTGTTTTATGAATCTCTTATATAGATTATTTTTCTTTTTACATGCATCTTCTATCCCCTTTGTGATCCATGGCTTATTTGATCTGTGATGCTTTCTAGTGATTTTCATTAAAGGGCAATGTTTTTCATATAGTGAAATTACAGTTGATAAGAATGCATCATATGCACTATTTGAATCTTCATTTGCAAAAACCTCATTCCAATTGTGTTTTTGATGACATGTGGGTAGCAAGATCCTATCGTCCCATGGTTTTTCCTCACCAAATTTACAGGTGTATCTATTATCGTGTCCATTCTGATGCTTCACAGTCAGAAAAGAAAGAAGGCTACAGAACTACAGGGCTGATGAAATTTCCCCTGTGTGTGTGTGTGTGTGTGTGTGGGGGGGGGGGGGGGGGGGGGGGGGGGGGGGGGGGGGGGGGGGGCGGGCATTATTTTAGTGGTGAACTTATTTAGGTTGTGACCGTCCAAAACAGGGTCCACAGTCCAAAGCAGGACTTCAGAAGCAGTGCAGGACACAGTCGCTGCTTACTTTTAAACAAAGAGTATGGTAATAACAACCATAACAACAAAGTGTATGGTCGGTGAGTGACTGGCTGATTGAACACAGGTGGAGAGGTAAACTTTCAAACGAAATGCAAGAGAACAACAGATTACAAAATAGGAAAGTGAGAACTTCCTTGTTTTGAAGCATATTATTTGCAGTAAGTGCAACACAAATTCGACTGAAAATGACGAAACCTGATTTCAGGACATTGCTCATATAAGCAATATTTTGTTACGCAAGCAATATTGTTATACGTAGTTTGGTCAATATTCAAAAAGATGTCATGAGATTATGAAGCATTAAAAAAAAACTTATGGGGAAAGTGAACGATATTATTTTTTTAAATAGAAAAATCTAATTAAAAACAAAGATTCATTTTTGTTCTGGTTAACAGAAGGTGGTGCTCTGACGTTCAGTCCAGTTCACGATCAGCTGTCCTGTTTCTCACATTTTCATAGTTCACTGTGTCATCATCACGGTCACCAACATAATGTACCTGCGAAAAACAACACAGGTAAATCGTCAAGGGAAACTCATTGAGATCAAAATTTAATTATATTTAAAATAAAATACTAGGTCATCTAAAAGGTATCCTTAGCTAGTTTAAATTAGCTAGCAATGATCACACTGGTGGAGACTGAGGGTAGCACATTTACATAATTTCACAGTACTACTAGTACTAGTACTACTGCCATCGTTAAGCAATTTTCACACAAATGTCAGATAATTTTGGGAGACTCAGGTTAAGATGTCCTCCATAACAGGTGTAGTACACAGGAGGAAATAGTTGTCTTAGGTTTTTGGAAAATCTTTTTTAGCCCAGCTAAAGAGTGCAGGAAACAGAGCACTTGACCTTTGAGGTGCATGCACCAGATGCTTAGCTGCAGTATCTGCATGTCTGCTCACAGTATGAGATTGTTTTTGAATGGAGACAGTAATTCTTTACATACAACTGTTAGTTTTTTTTTAACTTTACTTACTAATGGCTATTTCACTATCACTTAAAGATTTAAATTAACTGTGAGCATTTCTGAAGTCTTAAAAACATGTTCTGCTGCCACTGAAGAAAAATAATTATGGCAACCAAAAATGAGGTCATAGTGTTTCCTGCCATTTACAGCAGAAAGAAAAAAATCTCCCAAAGAGCTGAGAAATAAGTGTGTGACAGGGACACAACAATCAGTTGAGATCAGTTGGGTCACAGACTGGTCTCAGCAGATTGTTGCCCCTCCCTGAGACTGGTTCTGTCTGAGGCTTCTTCCTCTTGAAAGGGAGTTTTTCCTTCCCACTGTAGCCAAGCGCGTTTTTCAAAGAGGTTGTTTGATCATTGGGGTTTTCTCTCTAGTTGTTGTAGGGTCTTTACCTTTGAATACAAACCATCTTGAGGTGATTGCCGTTGTGATTTTACGATATATAAATTAAATTAGATTGAATATGATTTTTTTAATTTGTTTACTTGTTTATTTGTTTATCTGTTTGTTTCTGGTGCATAATGGAAAAAAAAAAGTACACAACGCTCTAGACTTATTTGGGGCAACAAGATAATAAAAAAAAACTACCCAGTAATCCTATAAACATTTGCGATGAAGCATCATGGCAGATTAAATTGTAAACATACAGATTATGTTTTTCTGTGCCATTTAAAGTCTTTATATTAGAAATGGTAAAAATGGTAAATGGCCTGTATTTATATAGCGCTTTACTAGTCCCTAAGGACCCCAAGGCACTTTACACATCCAGTCATCCACCCATTCACACACACATTCACACACTGGTGATGGCGAGCTACATTGTAGCCACAGCCACCCTGTGGCGCACTGACAGAGGCGAGGCTGCCGGACACTGGCGCCACCGGGCCCTCTGACCACCACCAGTAGCCAACGGGTGAAGTGTCTTGCCCAAGGACACAACGACCGAGACTGTCCAAGCTGGGGCTCGAACCGGCAACCTTCCGATTACAAGGTGAACTCCCAACTCGTGAGCCACAGAAAGCCTGTGTGTTTAAAATTCAGGTTTTTTTTAACTCACATTCGTGTCTTCAGGTTGGTTTTTCCTTCCTAAAACAAGAGCACTGAATAAATTCAAAGGTCTTTTTGTTGGTAATCTGTCTCATTACTGATCTGAATTGTCTCACCTTTGTGTCTGATCACAAGAACCGTGATTACAATCATCACTGTGAGTCCTACAAAGCAAAGAGCCCACGTGATGTAGTTCAGAGGAGACCGATCTGGGGTACCTAGAGAACACACAGTTCAAAATATTTCTTTATAAATTTGATATCTTTTAGTCAAAGTATTTAAATAACTTTAACTGCTGTAAAAATCCAAATTATTATTTATACTAGGAGTTCAAATGTCATGGGTCAAACTGATCTAATTGTTATACAAATCCTACCTATGAGGACAGGTGTGTAGTGAGCTTCTATCTTCACAGTATTGTTATCTTCAAACTGGCAGGTGTATCTTTTCTTGTTGCCACTCTGAAGCTTCACAGTCAGAAGAGAAACACACGTGTGTCCAGTGTTCTTCACATCTCTGTCCCACAGCACACTTCCTGTCTCATCCACCCAACGCATACTGTTTTGTTTGCAAGGAGGGAGAGTACAGCAGAGACAGAAGTAACGCATTATTGTAATCTGATTACTTTTTTCAAGTAACTTGACCAACACTGATTAGGACCCAAGATGCAGGCTTCTGCTTCTGATGCAAGATTCATTTTTATGGTGAGGGTAGAAACAGCAGTGGTGATAGCATGTGCAGAACGTAGCCTGGCTAAATTAACCAGCCCAGAACACAGATTATCTTTGGGGTTCTTTTAATCTGAATGATAAAGTAAGCGCTGGAAATAAAAAGGTTGTAAAAATAAATGCATTTATTTCTTATCCAGTAACAGCTTTGTGCACTGGTAACCCACTGCTACTGCAGGTTATTTTCTCAACTTTGTCAGCATCTGTAACTCAAAGATGTCTAGCGTCAATGTGTGACTGATATAAACCCATCCAGAAACAAAATCTCAGCAGTGCAAAAATAATTGTAGTGGCTTCTCCTGCTGAAAGACAGAGCCAAGATTAAACAGTTAACAAAGGTACATTTTCCCTCTTACCCACGGAGATATTATAATACAAGTGTGAACTCAAATACATACAGTGCATTAATCCAGTAGAAAAACGGAATACAGATCCCTCTGAGATGAATGGTTGAAGTCGGTTGCAGACACTTCTGGTGCTTTAACTGTTCCACACTTTGCGTTTCAAACAGATCACGCAGCGAAAAACCGTCGTGATTACATTGTGGGCATTGCACACCCACATTACACCAATGCAAGCTAGCACTTCCGTGAATGTCTCTGTAGATCCCCATCATCATCTCTTGCGCTCTCAGAGGTACCCCAAAAGAAACAGCGCCATCCAGTGGCATGTCCCATAATACTGACCTTCCACCTGGCTACACTAAGATAACCTAAACTGGAAAAACTAACAAAAACATACCAGAAACCTTTAAACAGAGACGCAGGGAGACTTGGGGAAACAACACAGACGAACCAGCAATGAGCACAAGATGACACACACTGAATACACAGACGGGAACATGAGGGAATGAGGAACAGGTGGCAACACAGCTAGAACTGATTGGGCACAAAGAGACAAGGAAGCAAAGCAGAATGCACTAACGTAAGACACAGACTTTCAAAGTAAAACAGGAAATACACAGAGAGGCAGACTGGAGGGGGAGAGAGAACACTGAGGAGCACGAGGGAGAGCACAGACATGATGGGTTGGGGAAACATGGAATAAAACACAAGGAGGGAAAATAAGGCACCAGAACTCCAATACACAGAGGGAGACACAGGGGGTAAAGACACAAGGGGAAATCCAATCAACTAAACCGAACAACAAAGAATAACTCCTTAGAATGACAAATGATCTTAGCATGATACAGAAACGCAACAAAACTGAGAGTGCTAGGTCAAAATGACCCAGGACCCCAACATACTCATTGCCATTCATTTACCATGTTACCTGAAGTGTTTCACCCACAAGGTCAATCTTATGTCACAGTAGATGCTAAATCAGCTATGGGGACAGTGCGGTGTATAACTGGCTTTTCAATAGAAGCCCAGGGGCAAGTAAAACAAACAAAAGAAAAAACAGGTCTTGGTTAATTTAACCTGGTAGAGTTTCTAAAAGTCTGTAAAATACATGCCACAAAAGAAGGACAAGAAGGCCAAATTATACATACTTACTCCTTGTATAGCCCCTTTTTATCTTTTGTCTGACAGAAAACGTCTTCATTTATACCTTTATAAGCTTTCTTCTGATTGGCTGCTCCTCATCAACACATGTACCAAAAGTTGAACGAACAACTGTTGTCACATCCAGAGCTGTGTGCCTGAGGTGAGCTTTGCACATACTCATTATTTCAAACTCTGGGCTGCAATTAAATACATATACAGGATAAGACACAAGGAAAGGCAAAATATGCTGAGAACTCTGTTATTCTCTGTATTAAATTAGATTAAAGTTCTTCCCTGGAAATGCAATACGCCAAACGCATGCATATGCATTTGATAAATTTAATTAATAAATTATCTAAAAAGAAGAGAAAAAAAACACACTAGTGGCACTATAGGTCAGAGCAATGCTTCAGTGATCCTTTGGGATTACTGGTGTTATGTGGGCCACTGATTTATTCATCATCCTTTTATTGTCTTCTTGTCATCTCATTAACCAGCTCTGTTGGTCGCAGAATACTCGTCCACGTATATAAAGCCAGAGAAGTCAGAGCGTGGAAGTTTGCAGCTGACATCTTGTTCCCTTTCTCTTCCTCCCTCACCACGGGTATTACCTTTTTGTTTTATTTGTGTATTTTAATTACAAGTTAATCACAATCTAGTTTTGGTTTTTTTTCCATTAGTTTAGCTAGAAACCTGATTTTGTTGACTGTCTCCCTCCTGTCTCTTTTGGCCCTTTGGGCCATGAATTTAGCAGCTATAACAGTTGTTTAACTCATTCACTGCCAGCCATTGGCAGTGAATGAGTTTAACTCATTGACTCATTCACTGCCATTGACGGCTATAGACGTCAATGGCAGTGAATGAGTTAATAGACTCTTTTTTTAGAAGAAAAAAAACGTGTGAATGGTTGTCTGTCTCTCTGTGTTAGCCCTGTGACAGACTGGTGACCTCTCTAGAGTATACCCGGCCTCTTGCCCTATTGCAGCTGGCACAGGCTTCTGGTGCCCCTGTGACTCTGAATTGGATGAGCAGAAGAGAATAGATGGAATTCTGAACGTTTAAATCTGATCTATTTAAAAAGTCAAAGGTTATTCTTAGTAATAAATGGCCTTCAAATAGACTGTTTAGTTCAGCAGTGTAGTTTGCAGCAAATTAAGTCCAAGGAAAAAATGCAGGTTCTGCCTTACATGTATGTCATTTAAGCTTGTTGGAGTGAAAATGCTTTAATGACACAAAAAGCATCTGACTATATTTTATTTGTGTTATTGGTGGAAAAAACGATTTAGCTGGCCAATGATGTGTTTACGTTTTTAAATTTTTTTTTTTTTTAAGTTATTTAAAATTTGACTTGCACCTAGTTTTACTCAAATTAGAGACACATGGTTTTTCAGTGACCATGTGTGCATATGTGTTGATCACTTGTCAACACATATGCACAAGCAGGATCCTGAGGTCTTAACTCTGAGATGGAAATTTCAGAAAGTTTGGTTTCAGAAAAGCTGATCAGGGCATAATTAATGAAAAAAGACTTCCAATATCACTGTTCACCATGAAAAAGGAGCATAAAAAGCACCAAGCCCCCATTTTTTTATCCAGTTGACTGTAGAATACAAATACATATCTCACTGTGAGCAACAAAAATTGCCCTAAAAAAGCAGAGGGAGAAAATTATCCACTTCATTTACCAACCTCATTTTAACATCGGCTAAACTCTTCCACATTGTAAACATTTAAAATTTTACTGTGAAGCACAGCAGAAGATGAAGCATTTTCCACTAGATTATTTAATTTTTCTAGAAGTTACACATTGTACAGTGTGTTTCAGTCTTATTCAGTATCCAAAGGTTTCATGATGTATTTGTGCAGGAACTGAGAAGCCACAAAGCACAAGAAAGAGAAAGTAAACATGATCTTTCTGAAGAATACAAATTATTTATAAAATGATAAAGAACTAAAAAGAATTATGATGACTCTTTGTTCCTGGTGAGATAAAGTTGGTGCTCTGAGCTCAGCACTGCTTTTCAGGGTCACCAAAATCAGCACGTTCACCATCAACCTGTTAAGTAGGGGAGACCGGGGATAGTTGTAACGTGGGTCAGTTGTAACACTTCCAATTTCTCCAATCAGGGCTAAGTTTCAAATGATGTGACTCATCCTGTGCATGCCCAACTCAGTTCTGCTATCACATGTGAAAAATCAGCACATTTTGTCAAACACAGACAATTTAACACGAAAAAAAAGTAATTTGTATGCCAAAAAGTAAGTTTTTCTACTTTATTTCAATTTCTAATAGCATTATCTGCTTTGCAGTTAAACTCATCAAACTTAAATTATGTTATTTGTATGCCTATGGGGATATATTCCGTGTAGGTCTTTAGTGCTAATGTTTTAGCCGTTGGCTGTAATGTTAGCTAGTTCATGGCTATAGGAGTCTGGGTCAGTTGTAACAGCAACAGTCTGGGTTAGTTGTAACAATAATGCAGGTGTTACAACTTACCACACTATTACTTTAACTTATATTAAACAAGTTGGGGCAACGACATCAGCAGAGAGAGGTTCACTGGTCGCTTTTGTATATGCGGTTAATGCCATTGGCAACACAATTCCTCCACTGTTTGTGTTCCCACACATACCTTATGCAGACCACTGTGTCAGAGATGGACCAGTAGGAAGTACTGGTAGTGGAAATAAATCAGGATGGGTGCAAGAAACAGATTTCCTCATCTTTCTGAAGCACTTTGCAAACCACACCAAGGTAAGCCAGGATAAAAAGTAATGGAATTGCGATGCTGGTGAACAACTAAGTGCATTCATGTGTTGAATAAACAAAGATTACATGTTAATGTTTTGTTAGTACCCTTATTTCATTGTGTTACATTTCACCCCAGGATATGTTACAACTAACCCAGACTATGGGGTTAATTGTAACATTTCACTCTTTGTGTTTGAGGCCATACCATGCAATGGGTAATTGTGCTGCAGAGAAAATAGCTGCACTATTTAATAGCCGAGACATGTAAATACTTTGCATTACATTTTGAATCCACTACCTTAAACGAGCTCCAATTTACAGACAGAAATGTCAAAAATGTTACAACTATCCCCGGTCTCCCCTACAACGCAAGTAAATCTTCAAAAACAGGTGGTGTATTAGATATTACAGACACATAAAAAATAATGCCTGTGTTGTTAATTTAGACGGTTGCTATGTTTGAACTGATATGCTTTGCTTGTTTTGTGCAAACATGATGATATTCTTTGGTTTGTTCAGGTGCCACTTTATAAACCTAAACTGTGCTGCCATATTCTTTTAAGAGACAAGAGGCTTTCTCTCCTGGCAGAACCTCCAGTGAAAGCTGTGCTTTTTCATGTTTGCTTATGCAGTTTTGTTTCATTTTTGTTAAATAAAAATGACACAGTATCAATGGCATATGTTGCTGTTCATCTGAGGTTGCACTTATCTAACTTGAAGGCCCTTTAAAGACCAGATTAGTATGCTGCTACAGTCAGTCATGTAAATGTGCTGCAGTACTGAATGATGCCACAAGGTGGTGCCTCCTCCTTATAGCAAATCCTGCAATAAGACAGGTTTGCATGTCTTTCCTGTACTAACTCATGAGAGTGTTCCTGTAACAGCAAAACTGTGAAATAAAGTCCTAGTTTCATCCAGTATTATGTTTATAGGTTTTCAAAAACTACCAAATTGTTCAAGAGGCACTTTAGATGACTCATACTGCTAACTGCTAACTTAAACTGTAAGCGTTAGCTACATTTTTAAATCGAAAAACCTACATATTTCAAGCTTCAACTCACTTTGGTGTTTTCAAGCTTTTAAAGTAGCTGGAAAAAGTAACAGAACAGCAATTAAACTGAAACGTCTGATTATTTTTGATCAGCGAACCTTATATGATGCAAATGCTGAAATAAATGCTTGATATAGGTAAAAAACATCCAAATCAAAAGGAAAGCCTTCCAAATTGATCCTGTGCTTGAAATTCTGCAGTAAAACTTATATCCTGCAGCTCTGTTAGCATTTAAATTGTCTAACCTCTGTTTCTCATAAGAGCAATGATAGCAATTATTAGGATCAGCCCTGCAATACAAAGGGCCAACATGATGTAGCTCAGAGGACACGGATCTGTGGAATCTGTGAAAAACACACGAAGGAAAATATTAATTCCTAAATTTCTTAAATTTCCTTCTTGTAACCTTATAGTCAATGTCCAGCAACATCAATGTTTTGAACATTTAGAAGCTACAGTAACAAACCAAAGCTATGTCAAA